GGGGGTTTGTAGGATATATATGTACCTGTCACAATAGCTTCTCTTGCTCTCTCAAGTTGCTGTATGATTTTATCCACATCATCAATACTTTGTTCGAAATTGGAGTCCCTTTGAAGATTCACAATCTCTTTTACAATCGCATCCATAGCTATTCACCCCGCTCTAGTTTCTGAATGAATGAATGGGATGGATGTCGAATCAATATTGAGATTGATGTCGGTTTTGTACTGAGTATGTATATGATGGTGCGAACAAAATATTTGTAAAGGTTCGATAGTGTCAGCTCTTTATCAAAATCGTAAGTGTTATCGATTGTACTCGAATAGTTGAGTAGGTAGTTGAGTAGGTAGTTGATTTGTTGTACGATATGATGATATGATGATTTTGATGGGGATTTTGGCGGGTCTTTCTTAAACCATAGGTAGTAGCTACAGGGATAACAACCCAATTATAAACGATAAAAACCCCTAAGCTAAGGACCCTTGATCCCTTGATTCCTTTGCCTTTTACTCTCTCTCTTATGGGCAATAATAACGCGACCCTTTGAATAATACATACTTAAAGTTCTAAGCTGATTCAAAAGATCATCTCTTCTTGGTCATTTGAAACATAGTTTGAACAACTCTCCTTAATTCTTTTCCAACTCAAAAATTATTAACTCATGACAAGACAAATGCGATGAAGGTTATCACCCTTTATCATCGACGTCACATCAAGACCCCCCGGTTACCATAAAAGAAATAATATGTCTTTTCGATTTTCTATTCCTCATGCATATGATCCAAATATGAATAGAGAGGAACTTTTGACCCTTTCGAGAACGACTTCTCATTCTTATAAAAGTGGTTCAACTAATCAATCAAAACCGAATGGTAATGGCAATGGCAATGGCAATGGCAATGGCAATGTCCCAACAAGTACACCAAATGGCGGCAAATCCGAACATGCGAAACAACCTTATGTATTTGCAGATCCAGTTGCTTTCAGGCACGGAAAACCCTCTCCTTTCAACTCAGGATTTGCCACTAATTTGTATGATCTAATAGATATCTAGAAGAGGATAATGCCACCGGAGTTATAGAACGCCACGGAGAACTTAAAGGTTACGAAGTTTATCTTGTCGAGCAATGGGCATGTTCAAGGGTACATCCTACTTTTGTTATTACGACTTACACGGGCGACGACAGACATAAAATTCAAGTAGGGGTACTGGGGATTCCTGCAGATAAGGAGACATGGAATCCAAGGCTTCGAGTGTACTTCAACGCCATTTCCCAATATCACGCCAGACCCAAGGACACGCCATTGGGCACATTGATGGTTACGAATCTGAGCAGCTTTCCATCCGGCTTAAACGTGATTCCTGTACCTAATGGAGATGTAAGGAAACATAGGGAGGATTTTATTGTCAACGAGAATCTGAAGAGGCTAGGATGTTCTGGGAGATCCGGCATGAGTCTCCAGGCCCCGGCGGCTGCAACACAGGCCAAATTCTTTCAACTATATAGAACGAGCGATCGAATCCCTCTCTATGGTGCTGTCATCGAGCTAGTGAAGCTCTGTCAGGTGGCTTTAATGATATTCGGAAAGTTAGAACAGGAATACGCGGATGGTTGTCTTTGTGATGTTACGGAGAGAGCAATAAATGATTGGTGGACGGAGATTGGATCCGAATACTATAATATCGAACCATCCGATGGCATTCTTGGTCCTACCACTGTGGCAGCACTTCTAGGTTTGCTCATGGGTGCTAGAAATCGACTCAATTACTATGGAGCCCCGGTGGCCAAGGACGCATTTGATGTTGTTAGTCTCAAGCGTGGTATAGCTTATTTTCAAAAGTCTCAGAAAATGGAGCGCACTAGGAGGCTGGATAGGCGCACTCTACAGCGATTACATCAAGCCACTGCAAAAGGTGCTGCAGGTGATGGCTGGGCAGTTCCCAAAGCGGTCAAATCGACCCTTGCAGAAGTTAGTGGGAAAAGTGGTGAAATGGTCATGGGAATGGTCGGTCGTGATAAATCTGGAATCGCCGATATAGAAACCTGGGATCTAGAACGCTTGATAAGTCTGGTACACGGAGCAAGATCGAAATGGTTATGGTATGGAAAATCTAGACGGACAGGTGCCGACGATCATGGCAAATCAGAATCCGCAGCAGCTCATATGTCTTTCACCAAGGATGACCATGGTGGGTACATGTGGTCTCACAGCAGAGCTGATTCAATACCGGGAGAGGACGATGCAGATAGCCGCAAGAAAGAGGTCTCCGACGACATATACTCTGCTCAGCCGCCAGGATCGGCCACGAGCATGTTAGAAACTTCAAATGACCGAGAAACGCAACTTCACAAAGCTGTGTTTAAAAAAGCTACCGGGAAGATGAGTGAAGCTAAGCAAGGCTTTGGGCGGATCAAGGACGCCGTTGGGCTACGTGGCCACAGCGGTAAACACTCGAAAGATGAAGCCCGTGATATTGATGAGAACGGTGGTTACTTTAATCCGGGACATCTGACTGGAACACCCCATGGGCTGGGTACACCATCCAGCCCGACAGTTAACAAGGCATTTAGTTGGAAAGTCAAACCAGGAGATTATGAAAATGGGTTTCCAAAATCCAAAGACTTTACAACCGGGTTAGCGCAAGCTGGGCTGCATGAAAGCGATAGTGAATCGCCTCCCGATCATTCAAAGACGAGCTTGTTGGATCCTACTCCAACTCCGAACGCTTTACAATTGGAGGAAAGGAAGGCCGCGGAAGCTGAAGAACAATGGCAGGCACAGGCGCAAGAGATTCGTCGTGAACTTGTGGCAAAGGAGCCTTCTATTTCAGGCTCCATTTGTGACGAGGGTGACCTTGAAGGTCCAGTTCTAGAGGCAGAACGTAGTGACAATCATAATTTTGTGGCAATACTTCATCGTCGGCATAGTATCTCCGATGCGTCTCACATGAGGAGGCCTCGCTACGAGGATCAACTGCAGCGTCATGTGTCTTTCAGCGATGCCGAAGACGCTGTTTTAACCTGGGAGCCAGTTGGAATCATTGACAAGTTTGATGAATCAGACAACTGGCTTGCATTCCAAAATTACAAATTACTCCACGAGGATTATAAACGAATTTACGAGAAGATATTGGACCTTCAAAAAAACTTGTGCCCATGGGTACGAAGGAGGATTGACGGTATCAACGCTTTGGACGATCAAGCTGCTTTGGACCAAGAAAGTTTGCAAGAGCTACATATGCAGCTAAGCGAGGAATATCAAGAACTAAGGAACAATACACCAGATTTTCTTGGCGAAGAACGATCACATGTCACAGAAACTCTCAAGGATATTGATGTCCTTGGAGCCAAACTTGAGTACGAGCTTAATTCTCTTGTATCGAAAGTACAGGACGTAGAGGATGGTGTGACTCAATTCGAAAGACAAGTAGATGACTTGGAGACACGAGCAGATGAATTGGAAGATATTTTTAGAAAGGAAAGTTGGGTTCATTGGATTGTTCGCTCTATTACGGGGATTGGTACTAGTCCAAATATTGTGGCACCAAGTAGTCCTTGATTTGATATTGCCTAGTTGAAGCAATTCTTTTAGCCGGCGTTTTGGGAATACCCATCAAGCAATTATATTATTTGAGCATGATAGTGTGGATTGGAGTTTTGGGCTTTCAGGTGCAGTGGACATGAACGCCGTTTCTGTTGTCCTTACACCACCTTCTAATGTACAATATTAACAGAAATGAGTTTATCGTCATCCAAAACTGCTCTTCATATCCTCGAGGTATTCCAGGTGATTCCTTTGTGCCGTGCTTTTTTATCATCATGTCATCTCTGAATAATTTGTATACCCAATGGGCCAATAATACAACTTCCCTTGAACCTTCCTTCACAGATGTCAACCAATTTACGCTCCAAAGGCACCACCTCCAAATCCACCTCCACCACCAGCTCCTTTAGCTGCTGCCTCTGCTTGTAACAACTCCGAGATCTTCATCTGTACGTCAAAGAATTTTGCTGCACATCGATCGATGCAAACACCCTCGCCTTTGTTGAGTTCGCCCTCGCGGTATTCCTTGGGGATACACTTTTTGATGCAGGCTTGAGTAAGTCTATAGAATTAGGTTAGCATCAGCAAACAATGCTGAGGTAAGAAGATACTCTATCATAGAAAGATAGGCATATAAGCGGAAACATACTTGTTGAACATATCAGTAATAAGATCCATCTCTTGCTCAGCAGCAGCAATCTTCTCTTGCGAGGATGGCTGAGGACGACCCATTCCAAACATTGACATGATTGCGGTTATTTTTTTTGGATGTGAGGTTGGCAAATGAGTGATTCGTAACTGAGATATATGGTATCAAGGCTTTGGGCTTCGTTTTGTTTGATACTCTCGATTCCAAGGTTTGGATGAATCTTGAATGGAAAGCTCCACTAGCGTCGGGAAAACATTGTTCCTGGATAAATATTTTTCGTCAATAAAACTCGAAAGCTGAGCCTCAAATTATATTCTCAATTTTTCGTCAACAATAACACTCTCCTCTCATACCAACAATTGATTTTGGAGAGTGCAGTAATTAATTGGTATGTATATTATTTCTTCCTTATTTCATTACTGCATCTTCTCCTTGAGTTTATATGATGATTTCCATATAACATTAGAACCGTTGCGACTGACACCCTTCTTCGGGAGAGTGGGTGATCTCACATCGATCCGTTGTCTGAAAAAAAACTCTAAATTTATATATTCATTTGATTTTACAAGATTTGATTTTGAATTGAAGCTAATTGATTGTGTTGAAGATTATAGGATGAGATGAGTTCTCTAACCGGTCTACGATTTCTTAGACCCTATCTTTATCATGATATTCTTCCAGTAAAACCAGCTGCATATGCACGACTTTTTTCTACACATTACTGTTTACTACGCGACAAGAAATCGAAGGTACATGATTCTACAGGCCCTAAAGCCAAGCAGTTGAAGGAAGAAGGGGTTAAAGGTCAAGATTCCTCCGGTGTTAGGATAAAAAAACTTCAGGATGTTGGCGCCTTACGTTACCCAAGAATTGAAGAGGTTGATAAAAATGTTTCGGTGAAAAGTTGTCTTGTGTCTTGTGCGGCATTGCCATGTGGAGATATGAATGTAGCAAAAACTCTTACGCTGCACGGTAAGAAGCATCTTCTTCGGCAGAGGATGAATAGAGGTTGATGTTTGTATAGGTAGAGTTGAAAGTGTACGAAAGTCTGGCTCAAAGCTTGTCTTTGTGAATATGATAGAAGATGGTTATTCAATTCAATTAGAAGCCGAATCTGGGTTGATTTCCAAAATGCAAAACGTTAATGTGCAAATACCGATCCCATTCGAACGTTTAAGCAAAATTATTCAACGTGGAGATATCATTTGTGAGTGAAGATTCTGAACATCCTGAATGTTTGTGCGTTTGTGTATGTATTGGTGAATCTAACATGTCAATAGCTGTAACTGGTTACCCAATTACTAAGGCCAATGGTTCAGCTACTCTCAAGTTGATCAAATTACCACAGATATTGACTCCAGGTCTGACGCCGGTACCCCAAAAATTGACGGATCCAGCAACTCGTATTCGAAATCGACATCTTGACATTCTTGTCAATCAAAATGTCGCTGCTACTTTACGACTTCGTGCTAAAATCACACAAAATATTCGTGACTTCCTGGTCAAAGATAATTTCCTTGAATTTCAAACCCCAATCCTCGCCGACAAGGCTTCGGGTGCCATGGCCCAGCCATTCAAAACAAACGCAACAGAGTTCCCTGAAAAAGAGTTAACTCTCAGAATCGCTCCTGAATTATGGTTGAAACGATTGGTCATCGGTGGCCTTGATCGGGTTTTCGAAATTGGCCCTGCTTTCCGAAATGAAGGCCTTGACGCTATTCATAATCCAGAATTTACAACTTGTGAATTTTACAAAGCATATGCTGACCTCGAGGATCTTATTTCCATGACCGAGAAGTTAATCTCGGGTCTTGTACATCTCGTCGATGACTTACGTGATGATTCTCGACCTGTGAGATATATGCCTTTTGAAGGACTTCCACGTTTCGACCCAGGTATATACAAAAAGCCTTTTAAAAGAATCGAGTTCCTCCCTGCAATCGAAGCCGCACTTGGGGAAAAGTTGTCTAATCTCCAAAAGGATAACGCTAGGGAAGAACTCCTCTCACTCTTCACCAAACATAGCCTAGAAGTCCCCGAAACCCCTACACTTCCCCGTCTACTAGACAAACTCGCTTCTATCTACATCGAACCTCAATGTCTCGCCCCAACATTCATCATGCACCACCCCTCCTGCATGGCGCCCCTCTCGAAATCCTTCCTCGATCCCCACACTCAGCAAATCGTCTCGGCACGCGTGGAGTTATTCATTCAGCACCAAGAAATAGCAAATATGTACGAAGAGGAAAACTCACCATTTGAACAGCGAGCCAAGTTTGAAGAGCAGTTGAGGTTTAAGGATGTGGAGAACCCGACGACAATGGTTGATGAGGGTTATATTCAGGCGTTGGAGGTAGGGTTGCCGCCGACTGGGGGGTGGGGGTGCGGGGTTGATAGGTTGGTTATGTGGTTGAGTGGTGCGAAGAGGATTAGTGATGTTTTGCCGTTCGGGAATTTGAGGAACGTGGTTAATTTGGGGGCGGTGGGTAGGAAGGGAGAGGGAGAAGGGGAGGGAGAGGGAAAGGATGAGGGAAAGGATGAGAATTAGATTTTCTTGGAGCATAGGAAAGAAAGGGGCTTTGAGCATGGGATAGATGGAACGGATGGAACGAACAGAGATGAAAGGGAAACGAGCCAACCAAGCGGAGGAGATCAAAACTACTAAGGACGTGATGATATAGATATTTCAGGAGTTCAACAACAATTACTACTCGCTCTCAACATCTCCTTTCCACTTTCCACTATCTGTGTATTAATACTGTATGACGTCGAGCCGAAATCGGCATTCTGCCTTCCAATTCACCGCTTTCAAACACAACCCCATAACCCCCCACATACTTCGAATTCTTGGACCTCTCCTCTCTACCATTACAAATAATTGTGATAGAATAAAGCATGGTTCATACACATACACTTTGCAACTAAGTCTGTCCTAGAGGGCATATAAAATTAGAAAGGTATTAAATCTGGGTAATGAATGATGACGTTATTGAAACCCATTCAAGCTTTTGTTAGAGTTTGCCCCCTTGAAGCCAGTGCGGATGTACCGGTATATATCTAATGGCTTGATGGCATATTAGCATACCTGATGAGTATTTGTTAAGTATATTTCCATGACATTCATCGTTAAGTGCTATTGAAGTCAGATACCATACACTCATCACAAAGATCTCGACGTTTTACCCTATAATCATCATGCCTAGAGTCTTCTTCATCACTGGTACTTCCACCGGATTTGGAAATCACCTTGTTCAGGAGGTTCTCGACAGGTAAACTCTTCTTCTTCAATGGCCCAGGATACAAGTTCTTCTTCAATGGTCCAGAATACAAGCTGATCGCACTGCAGAGGCGATGTTGCAGTTGCCACTGCTCGTAAGCCAGAAACTCTAAAGTTTGAACGGACAAATGACAAGGTACTTTCTTCCTCAGCAGAGACATCAAGTCTTCTAACAACAACAGAACTTTCTGGCCCTCAAACTTGATGTAACTAGCCAGTCTGATATTGAGAATTCCTTCAAATTCGCAACCGATAAATTCGGCCGCATCGATGTAGTTGTCAACAATGCTGGGTATGGCCTCGCCGGTGTATTTGAAGAACTTAAAGAGCAACAGGCTCGTACTCAGATGGAGGTCAACTTCTTCGGCCTTCTTGCAGTCACCAAAAAGGCAATGGAAGTTATGCGGAAACAGAAGCCATGTGGTGGTCTCATTCAGCAAGTCACTAGTATTGGCGGTCAAAGAGGTATGCCTTTCTTCAGCATCTACTGTGCAAGTAAATGGGCCGTCGAAGGTTATACCGAAAGCATCAGTCAGGAGGTGAAACCAGAATGGAACATCAAGTTCACATGCGTTGAGCCCGGTGGATTCCGAACTGATTGGGCTGGAAGATCTATGCAATTTGCTGAGAAGAAGCATCCCGCATATAATCATCTAGATGCCAAGGAATCCATGCGAAAGGGAAATGGTACTCAAGCTGGAGATCCAAAGAAAGGTGCAAAAGCCATGTATGAGCTTGCTATACTCTCAGATCCACCTTTGAGAGTAGTCATTGGAAGTGATGCGTACAAAGGAATTATGGCGAAGATTGAGGCATATGGGGAAAACTATAAGAAGTACGAGAAGATCTCTAACAGTTGTGATGTTGATGAATGATGGATAGAATAGTCGAATTACCATGCAATTCAGCTGTAACAAACATGTCGCTCATACCAGTGCTTTCAGCTGAAATAGTAACATGGTAATTCATGTGGTTGGGTTTCTTGAACCTTTATATCTGCATCATGCAGTTCGCCGCCTTGTCGAAATCATGTATCATGACTCCCTCCTTCCTACATGTCAAAAGAACTCTTTCATCACACATTCACTCAATCATCAGTACTCTCGTTTAAAGTCAACCACGTCGGAGATTAAGACATGTATTTGCCGATAGGATCATAAAATACTTTCCTGTCTTCATTTAAGTAAACAAATTCAAATTTTTCAATAATCACAACATTTCAAGATCCGTTGCTCTCTCCTTGATTATCGATTGTAACAACATCAACGCCGCCTAGTTTTCTAATCTCTTTCATTCTTGCTATTTTCTACATATCATAGGTTTTGATTCTGTACTTTATTGTCTTTCATCATGAAGTCGAGTCCAAGGTTCTCTGGACCCAACACAAGCACTTCTGAGCCAAGATCAGGATCTCCTTGCTTGGATAAATACGAGCTGTATCAAGTCGAACAGTATGAAGCACAAGAGCTATTTGAATTCAAACAATATGTCAAGATTATTCAATTCACCGAAGCTGTGCGCTCCGGAACCCATCCTCGAGTTAAGATTTCTCCTCGGCCTGGCACCAGAAAGTCTACTACATTCGAGGTTAGTTTACATACACAAAATTTAAAGCGGGTACTAATATTGTATGCTATTTGTAGGCCTCAAAAGTTCCCAAGAACGTGAATGTTGAACCAGTAAGGATAACAACCGAGGAGGTCGATACTACAAATAACTTGAATCCCACCCCACAAGAAAGTAGCAAGAAGGCTGGGAAGAAAAGAAAGTATTCTGATGAGTTAGAAAAGTCACCTGAGGATTTGCCTCGAGAATCGTATATTGATGATCTAGCCATGGACTATTATAGTTTGTTAGGGTTAGATTCATCTGCCTCTGGCCAAGATATACACAAGGCTCACAATGAACTAAGTAATTTCCTCGATATCCCCTTCTATCTGTATTATCATACATTCGCTGATAGACTTTAGAAAAAACACATGATCCACAATCGAATGAAGGAAAATTGAATTGGCAGGGAAAAGATCCGGTAATCTTAAGAGATATGACACATCTGGAGCAACATTCAGTGTGCATTCGCAGTACTATCGGATAAACATAGCAGGTCAACATACGATTTTGCTAGAGAATCGTATCTAAAAGGCTTAGAGAAGCGGAGGAAAGTAGACGAGACCACCGTACAAAGCGAACTACCGTTTGCTGCCTTTCGGGAGGAATTAATTCGATCACTAGGAGCACCTCACCCCGATGATCCGCCCGATCCGCACGACGAGGATTTTTATCAGAGAGTCACCGCAGGTATTATTGTGGAAGAGAAAGACATCGATCTTTCAGCCAACTATTATATAGAGTTAGCAGCTCCCGCCATGGGTAAAGTATGGAGCGGAGTCGTTGGTAAAGATATCCTTGGACAACTCTTGCGAAATATGGGTGAGGGGATTGAAATCACACGACGGTGGATATATCACTAAATAGCGAGTAGGCTACCAGTACATTCATAATATAAGACAGGCGAAAGATGACAAGGCCCTCGACAGGGTGCGTGGCGCATGGAATAAGAAGCTGATTGCCTACTCGATATTGAAGGATGAGAGGCTTCGTGCAAAGTATAATGAGCGGAATTTCAGTCATAAGTTGTTTGGAGATCGGCAAAAGGTATATGATGCGAAGGAACTTGATAGGGTGCAAAAATCATGGTTTGTTATCTCTGAACGGATGAATTGCTGTGCCAAGGCTGCTAATTCGAATTCCTGCAGGTCTTTAACCTTACCGTTACCATCTGGAGCCAAGGTCTCAGTCCCGAAAGTCATTTCCTCTCGAATCCCATCTGCAGCATCCGACATTGATCCTCTTAACGGTGACCATATCAACCCCAAAGCCAGTACTCCCAGTATTCCCACCCCCAAGAAACCCCAATCACCAATCCCCATCCAACCGCAACAACCGAACACCACAGCTCCCAAATCCCTCGGGCCTCAACACTACAGCGGGCGAAAGCGAAAGCGAGACCGACATCAAAAAGCCCGAAAGATCCGAGCCCAAAAAGCGAGTATTCAGAGGCAAATTGACGTACAGCGGGCAGCGGCGCAACGCGCTGGTGCGCAGCGTAAGGCGTTGCAAGAATCACTGGGCTTGGGTGTGGCTTTGCCGAGTGGCCCGGGTGTTGGTTTGGGGACCCGGATGGGGATGGGTGCTCGTTTGGTGAAAGGCGAGGTTGTGTATGGTGATGGTGGTGTTGGCACTCTGAGGCTGGGTGAGAGTGCTAGTGTCGTGGGTGCTGAGTCGAGGTTGAGGTCAGGCAGTAACTCATCCTTGCGAGGAAGCAGCGAGAGAGTGGAAACCTGCTGATAAGAAGCAGAGGGTTAGGGATAGAGAAGGTGGTGAGAAGAGGGAGATGAGGAAGAAGAGCGGTAGTCTGTGAGCAGATTAAAAGATACCAAATAAGGGGTGGGTGAGATTTGGGTGGATACTAAGGAGTAGAGCATGTCTAAATATACTCGATCATTTGGGTATATATGCATCATTGATATTGTACTTCATCGATGTTATGTCGAATGAAAAATGTATATATATATCGAAATACATGTTTTCAAGTTCCATTTGTGATATTTGATCGTTTGATTTGATGCAAATTTGATGAAGATTTGGTGAGGAATTGGGGCTAATAAGATTAGCAAATTGAATGAAATGAATGAAGATGAGTGGATGAAGAGATGAAGATTAATGAAATGAAGGGGATTTATATACAACTTCCGGTGAGGTTTATGGACTAGAGTATCGAGTTTAGATGAGAGAATTTGGATATTGATGATGTTTTGAAGATATAAGGCGTACAGTCTTCAGTATTACGAGTAGTAACGAATGGAACTAACATTAAGATGAGAGATAGAGTTTCTTAAGTAAGATTTCAGAGGATCGAGGAGATAGCATCTAATTGTGAGAATTGTGTTTAGGATTAGATAGTATAGTTTAGAGTGTGTGTACAAGATAAGTAGAAGTATTGTGAGGATGAGGGGTGTATATTATGGATTATATTTTGGGGGGTGTGGGAGGATAGTTTGGTATTGGTTAGGTTTGGGATGTGTACTGGAAATATACAAGACTTTTACTTGAGGTTTTGGGGGGATAGTGGGTGTTTATTGAATGTGAGATTGAAGGAGAGTGCTGTGTCGTTTTATTGTATAAGACTCAGTGTAGATAATATCTAATACTCATTTGTGGATTGACAATACCGGTAGTGTTCTTGAGAGATTTTAATGAATATTGTGAGATGAGTGGGTTGGGATTGATGGTAAATTAGATATCGTCTTATTATACTCGAGTACCATTTACGAGTATATGTGATATTCTATACAAACTCAAGGATTGAGAGTTATATTCTAAACTTTCGGGATGAATAATACTATGACTCCTTTAGATCAGTCTTTTTAAGGCTTTTAGGCTAGCCATTAGTCTTTCCGTCGAGACTAACTTCTTTGCAGCCTCATTTGTCGATATAATTAACACTTCTGCCAGTAGTGCTTTAAAATATTGATTTCTGTCATACTGGAAACCGGGTTCAAGTTATGACGCCTCGTGCTCTATATCATACATACCGGTACTAGTATAATAACTACACCTTGAATAGACTTCCTATCTTGCACTGTGTACCGAGTAGTATCTGAATATCCGTTATATACGTACAATAGTAGCCCCTTATTGGACAAAAATGATACTGTGGTGTATTAACAACTTAGGGTTGTTGTTTTGGTTGATTTCTTTTGGCGAATTCTACTAGGTCAGACATAGCATAGCATATTCTAGAAGTCAATCGGATTATTTGGAGTTGTGTATAATCCATCAGGTATTCACTATAGTCTAATAAAACGAACATCTTCTATAATATCTTTCTAGTGACTGGGGTATCGATCGGTATACGAGTAGTCTATTCTCTATACGTTGTAGATCATTCGATATTATATCATCTCTTCAATTAGATTGATTTAAAGAACATATTTGAATTCCAAATCAAGGATTAGAAAATTTGAAGCTTAGGATTTGGGGTGAATATAACAGTACAACTATAGTTAGCTAAGTTCGAAATAGATATAGAATAATACATCGTCTCATCAAACCGGGCTCGTTGGGAGATCTAGAAGTATCTCGTTCCAAGTCGGGGATCAGAATATTTGAAACGTAAAAGTTAGAGTCAATATCATAATATGGACTAGATTTTAAATATATATTAAATACTATATCGTCCCATCATATCATAACTGACCGAAAGTAAATGCTTAAACATTAATTATAACTTCCAATAATATCTCGCTCTCGCATTCTAATTTTAATAGTAAAGCAAAGCTTAGACTCGGCCCAGATTGGATCTAATATCCTAGATAATATAGTACCGGTATTAGAAATAGAAGCGCCGTCACGCATACAGTGAGATTCAAAACCATTGATTGTGTGATGATCATTTGATGCCAGAGTATTAGAATTAACGAGAATCTGATACCTAGTTATTCCTGAACTTGAAGAGTAATTGTGACAAGAATGATCACCCCAGTGTTTTACCTCAAGTTGTATTATTATAAAGAGCCCTTTCCGGGTTTTAGTATTGAATATCATAACGAAAACAACTTCGAGATATCACGAATATAAAATCCGAACACACTACACTTCGGAGGTAAGTTGTTTGGATCCGAACCTTAGCAAGGTTTTGGTGTTGTGATTAGGTACGCTACACCCGTTTCTACTGGATTCAATCTCAACCTGTGTACTTTCTGCTGTCACGCAAAGCTCCAAGGAGCATTGTTGCATTTTCGAAATCGCAATTTTGAATCGAAGGGATGAGAAAGAAAAAAAGTCGCCAGATTCAATTAATAACGAAGATCTATGGTCAAGCGCTGGCAGATCATAACGATTCGTTTATTTCAGAGATGGAGCCGATGAGAGCAATTGAGCGGTCCAATAAGAACGGATACGTTTTGCCGCAGAAGATGAGTCTATAGAGTCTATAAAGTCATCGATCGATATGAGGACGAAGAACCAGGTCTTGAACTTGTCGAATGACTACGGTTTGATGCATATGGGAGAATTTTATCACCCCCGATATTTAAGGGGGTCACTAAAGAAAATGTGACGATTTAGGTATCTAGGAGGTTGGTTTAGTTCGAACATTCTGATCATCTATGGTTCTTTCTGAAGAAATGGGTTTACTTTCTTTTCCCGGAATTAGTTGAGCGAAGTATGCTTATATAAATCATTTATATTTATAAAGTCTGAACCCTTTAACAATTTGTAATATTCCGGCCAATATATATATATATATTGAATACACTGGACCTATCTTCTCTAAGCGAGCCGATAGATTCGCATCATAGCCACAAGACTATCTACCATACCTCACGACGAAGTATATGCAGCAGCAGCAGCAGCAGCTTTACTTAGCATGAGCTCCGACAGTCTGAACTCAACTGGGTTATTATCTGACTATACGATTCCATAGAAGATACCGGTACTCCTGCAGCGACTCGTCAAAACGATTCGTTAATCAATGATCATGCTGTTATTAGACGAATAAAGGATGGATATAGATATCAGAAAATGCGGTGAACATATTGTAATGTTGAAAACATTGTATTACTAGTTGAGAAACGAGGGGTAGAGACAGAAATCATAAATGAGGTGCTGATAGATAGCCGTAGCGGAGATGGCGGAACTTGGTGGTTATGACACGTTACCATGGAGGCCATAAAGGCAGTGGCAGATAATCAGAAATCTCGAATGAAGACGGCGGGTTTCGTGTATGGAGATACCATAAGACTGGTAGGTTTAGAGAACAGAAAAGATAAAGGGCAAGGTCCGAATACAGTGAAAGGAGGCGCGGATAGAGAGAGTCATTATCAAGAAACTGAACAGCAAAGCGAAGAATAAGAGTTGTAGAGACAGATGGTGAAGATGGCGAAATCAGCAGAATAGATGTTGCATGTATGCTGAATGATGTGAACTGTCAACTGTCACTGTCACAATGATCTTGAGGTACTTCCAGTAGAATGCTTGCGTTTCTGTGAAGTCACGATATATAATTAGCTGATGCATCCATCAATCGCGGTTAACCCCTTCTCGAGCTACTCATACTGTACTTTGATTTCATAACACCATCGTATCATGGTTAGTACTACTAAACCACCGGTAAACCATTGCAATAACATCGAATAAACTCCAATCCAGCATTATCCATTCTCATAATATACCGGTATGTATATTACCCCGGACTTATTAACAAAATAAACTTTCAATTCCCTGCCGTGTTAGAGTATTGATGAGTCAGCATATTTAAACTTTAGGTGGACCATATAAAGTCTCTTCATTATGATAGCCTAACCTATACCTACCTTACCTATATACACATATTCCTGGATATACTATTGATACGATCAGATATCTACTCCATACTTTATACCGTAACCACCTCAACAAATCCAGTAATCCTTATGGCTTTTGATACTCGAGTTAGAAAGGAAGATTTTTCTCCGCAAGATCGACATACAGTGGAGGGCTGGATATATATGGATCCTGATCCCTCTGAGATCATTTCGGCAGCCAGCTGAGGGTGATCCAGCCTCCTCGCCGTCGTGGGATGGAATTCCAATATATACTGTACTTCATCGTTGATGGAATGAATGATGGTTTATGTATTATTGTATGGCTTTCCTTTTTGAATACTGAGAGTACTTGTATCATTATCATATCATTGCTGTGTCACAACTACTGTACAGTAACCTATTGACAACATTTATTGGGTTCTAGTCTAGTATCGTTTTGTCGAAAATCAACCTTTGATCGATTGATTGTTGACATATTACTGTATCGGGAAATATTCAACCCTGGGGTGAGTCTTGCTCTAGACCAATCCGATTTAAATACCTAGGTAATATATTGATATATTTGTTGGATTAGGCAAGGTTTGTAGTTGATTGGTTGGTCTTGTCTTGCTTGGTCTTTTATCGGTACTGATACTTCATTGACAACCCCTTCATTCTTTTAAACAAGATACTAGAATTCCTGTATTCCTTCAAGTATTAACAAAACTAAAAATGTTTACTCAACATCTTCCCCGTTGCGCTGTTTATTTGTTCCAAATGCTTCTGGTCTCGAATCTAGGTTGATCATAGCATTAAGCTTGTTCTAAGTCTGTTTTAGTTAATTCAAAACCTGGATTCATCCAACCACCAACCCACCAACTACCAACCATCAACCATCAACCACCAACCACTAAACTCCACCCAACCGCCGCACACAAACTCAAATGTGAATACCATCATCTCGGAACGAATCCATTGATTGACCTACTCGCGTGTATGAAAACATCTGTTCACTCCCGTGCCAGCCACATCGACGTGGCGATATCAATTTCGACGATCTCATTCTGCTAACTTATGACGCATTAGCGGTCCGAACGACAGAATTTGTGTAGAAGTGGAAACCTGGAAAGCATCCCGATATTGGAATATACGAATATTGGCAAAGTGCAAAGTATTATTTGTACAAATACCAACAACCATGACTATCGACGAGCACCCCACCTACATCGACCTCCCTCCTCCTCGGATTACACCACAGAGAGGTACACCAGAAGTTGAATACGATAGACCGTTATCACCTTTACATATCCCTCCTGGCCGTATCGATGGATTGGATGCCTTACAAGCCCAAGAATACATGAACGAATGGCGAGGATCAGGCCAGAGTAGTCCGCTACATCTACGTATGGTTTCGCCGGCCGATGTAGCATTTTCGGCTATGCATTATCTGCCGTACCCCGTAATCGTCTTGAATAGCTACAAAACGGTGGTACTAGCGAACGAAGCCACGGCCAGACTACTCAATGCCGACGATGGTGAAAGTGAAGCGAATGAGGATATACATCCGGCAGAACGATACAAAGGACAAACTCTCGCTCAATTGGGTATCGACATGATGAAAGATCTCAAGCCTGTATGGGTTAAATGGGATGCTTTTCTGGATAGCCTGGGCGATGAAATCAATGTACATGCGGATGCGCAAGAAACTGTGACTTCGGAATATGCAGGGGATGTGACACCAACGGCGGAAAGAAGCGAACCTCGAAGTAGTATTACGAATGTTGAGAAGAAAACTTCCATGGTTCGTGATGCGGTGGTGGAAGTTGTTATTACAGCTGGATCAATCACAGCATCAACATTTGCAAGTCGAACGGCTAAGAAGATGGCGGATAGACGTAAGTATACTTGTGATCTTTTTGATCCATGCACAAAGCAATATTTTCAGGTTCCCAGAAAACTGTTGTCTGATCGACGCTTAATTACTGCTTCAGTGAGTGCTTGGTCTATATTCCAGTACCATTGTGCATGGTTTGAGTAGAGCTGTCCAGACTCCATATCAATACAATGGACAGACTGACATACATCGATTTCAACAAAACTCCATTCGATTGTCACCTTGTGCTTGGGACATCAAGCTAACGAAATACAGATTCTTATGCCAAGATGATCATTAGTATTTTCGAGATTGAAGAAGAAAAATACTTCATGTTGACCTTCACAAATACAGACACGACTGAATCTTTATTACCCAGCTTCAAGGGGGTCTCCAGGAAGACATTCAACTCTAAACTTCAAATGAGTTCTTATATGGGCTCCATCTCGTCGATTTCTCTATCTAGTTCCGGCCAATCATCTGCCAGCTCCGAACATGGATCCAATCATGGATCCAATCATGGATCAGGTGGATCATCTGGCATTACCAGCCCTACGAATGCGCCCATGTCATTTTCCCCGTTTCCACCTTTTGGTCCTCCTTCGCGCGTTAATAAATCAGGAGCCCCGTCAATATTACAAAAAGTAATTGTTTTGAAAGACGCACTGGATAATACGGAAGTCCCTATCCTGGCGATGTGGAAAGACGAGACTTTGACGGTACCGAATAAAGCTGCAAGAAGATTGTTTGCCCGAGACGCCGACATGTCGAACGTGAAAGACGGTACGAATCGTGTAGCCCTCAATACTTCTATAAAAACACTAATAATCTCATAGGGTTTGATTTAGTTGGGAAATGGCACTGTTATAATCACGATTTTACAGTAGCTCTAGATCCGTCGGAATATCCCATATCTGTTCTAACGAGAACACAAACACCATTTTCTAGTCGGTTGTTGGGAATTTATGATCCTGATACTGGGGATAAGATCCTGTATGATTGCTTAGGTATAAAAGAGAGCTATCTTAAACCCACTCGAAAGATTCTAACCCTTTTACAGGAGAAGCCGTTCGAGATCCAGATACTGGCGAATTCTTGGCTGGCATTGTGACGTGTAGGGATATCACAGCTGTGACCCAACAGATCGCCGAGATAAAAGCGGCTGGTGACCAGAGATTTCGGATTATTTGTGATACTATGCCACAGCTTATCTGGACAGCTGCTCCCGATGGATTACATGACTGGTTCAGTCAGGGGTGGTATGACTACACGGGTTTAAGCGTGAAAGAATCTCTTGGTGAAGGTTGGAAAATACCGTTTCATCCAGAAGATATGGCCTTGACAAAAAAGCGCTGGCAGCATTGTCTAGAGACTGGTGATCCCTATACCACCGAATACCGTTGTCGAAAATACGATGGTGAATGGAGATGGATGCTTGGTCGAGCTGTTTGCTTGAAGAATAAAGACACTGGCAAAATCGAAAAATGGCTTGGAACATGCACGGATATCCATGAAGCTGTCATATCACGATTTGAAGCTAAACGACTTCGCCAACAACTATTGTCCGTCATAGCACATGCTCAAGTCACGCTGTTTTCCGTGGACCGATATCGAAAAATCAATCTCCTCGAAGGTTCTTTCATATGGGATCTTGAGAGTGATGTGGGATCTAGCGATGAGAGTGTTGCCGGTAGTGGGAAAGCCAAGGGAGATGATTACATTGGGATGAATGTTTACGATGTCTTTTCACATTCCAGTAACCATAGGAAAAGGCATGATATGATTCCTTCTTCATTGCAACCAATCGAGGATATATTGACTGGAAAGATAATGGAAGATATGCAAGAACATACCATCGACAATAGATGGTATCGAACTAAATTTGTTCCCGTTCTAGGTAAGAAGGATGGCGGTGGCCTTGTCAATGAAGCTTTCGTTGATGGTGTCATTGGATTATCTATGGACATCACCGAGATCAAGGATCGAGAAAATGACATCCAAAAGCAAGAAAAGGAGAACACGAGACTTCTTGCGAACGAAGCAGCTGCCAAAGAAGCTAGTCGATTGAAGAGTCAATTCCTTGCCAACATGTCCCACGAAATAAGAACCCCCATCGCTGGTGTGATTGGAATGGCCGAACTTCTCACGGATATGAATCTTGATGAAGAACAACAAGACTGTGCTGAGAACATTCAACGTTCTGCCAATGCACTTCTTACGGTTATCAACGATATTTTGGATTTCTCAAAGGTTGAATCTGGTCGCTTGGATATTGAGGAGGTACAATTTTCCTTGTCAGTTGTGGTACGAGATGTCAGCAAAATGTTAGGGTTTGCCGCCGAACGAAAGAATCTAATGTTCGAATCTAACATCACAGTCGGGGTTGATAAAGATCTGATTGTTATGGGTGATCCAGGCCGGGTTCGTCAGATCATCACAAACCTCCTCACGAATAGTATCAAATTCACTAGCGAAGGAAAAGTCAAGTTTTCGGTCATCAAAGAAAAAGAAGATGCAGATACTATAGAAGTCAAGTTTGTGGTTGAAGATACGGGCATCGGAATTGAAGACGATGTTCGAAAACGTTTATTCAAACCTTTTAGTCAAGCAGATTCATCAACAGCCAGGAGATTTGGCGGTACTGGATTAGGTCTCACGATCAGTAAGAATCTGGTGGACTTGATGCATGGTAGAATTACTCTGGAATCATCTCTGGGGCAGGGTACCGTGGCAACTTTCCGGATTCCTTTTAACAAACCACAAAATCATAATAAAAATGCGTTGGTTGATATTGGAAGTTTACCGGACCGACTACAGTCTGAGATGAGTGTTTCTTGTAGTAGTTCAGATCATGATATTTGTTTTTCACAGAAAAAATCGTTGGACATGACTAGGCATCATAGATCGGTCAGTATGACGCCGGAGGTAGACATGTCACTTGCTGATAGAGCAAACATTAAAATCCTTCTTGTTGAGGACAAGTAAGTGAACTGCCCTATTTGATTATATATGAGTTTTGCTGACCTATTTTGCAGCGCCATCAATCAACAGATTGCTTTGAAGACAATTCGCAAATTAGGCTTTTCTCCTTCCGCAGTCTGGAATGGAAAAGAAGCTCTTGATTATCTCCTCGCCGCAGACTCTCCAAACCCTCCTCATCCAAAACCAGATATCATACTCATGGATGTACAAGTAAGCTCCTCAACAACCCTTCTCATCTTCAGAGCTAGTCATTAACATCTCTCTCACTAGATGCCAATCATAGACGGATACCGTGCCACGCACATACTACGCCACCATTTCCCCTACAGTCACTCAACGCGTAATATTCCCATCGTAGCCATGACCGCCTCAGCCATTCAAGGCGACTGCGAAAAGTGCAAGAAAGCAGGCATGGATGATTATCTGGCGAAACCTGTTAAGGGGAAAACGCTGGAGAAGATGTTGGTAAGATGGGCAATTAGTAAGAGGGTTCCGAAATCGGAAAGCGAGATGGATGATGATGAGGGGAGCGATTGTGCAGAGGGGGACAACGAGAACTGTGCGAAGAGGAGTGGAAAGTCAAAGTATGCTTCTTTTACATTTTTTTTATATTCTTTCGAAAAGGCCTTTTCGAAGTGGGAATGGAAGGAAACTTCGAACCTATTATTAACTTTCTCATCCTAGGTTTGACCGTCGCACCTCAACAAGCACCGCTCGCCGTCATTCACCGAAATCCATAGGCAAGAGCGAAAAAAATGCACCCAAATCACCAATAGATTCAGCGACAACTAAACCAGCATCGCATTCCCAAACATTCAAACTCGAGACAGACTCAACGTCTAAATTCGAAGCAGCCTTTGATCCAAAACGCCCATCTAAAATGAAGCGAAACAATTCCCACCGTCTTACACTACCTCAGGCAGAAGATGAGGGGGAGAGAGCGGTCCGGAGACAAGTATTTGAGGAAAAGGCAAAGGAGTTGAGAGATGAGAAGTTGGTTGGGGCAGCGGGGGATGAGCATAGGGCTGGAGTTGTCCATGGTCTTGGTCATGGCCTTGGGCTTGGGCTTGGGTGCGAGAGTATTGATGTTCATGGACATGGAGATAGGAAAGTAGAGGGTGTTAATAAGGGAATTGAGGAGAGAGGAGAAGGCAAAACTCAAAAGTTAACGATGGAGAATGTGGGGAGATTGGAAAGGCAAGAAAATGAGGAAATGGAGGTGGCAAAAACACTAGAAATCGGTGGGATCGTGAGGAGTGGGGATACTCTTACGCTTAATCCGAAGGTTGTTGGAAGGAGGGTGGAGGAGAGGAGTGGGAGTGGGGATGAGGAGGATGGAGATGGGGATTGTTTGGAGATAATAGAGATGAGCGGGAATGGAGGTGGAGATGGAGATGGAGACGAAGAGGACACAGAGGAGAGAATGGAGGGCAAGGATGGTAGTAATAATCGTCCGAGTGTGAGGAGGAGGTGGATGGATAGTGAGGCGACGGTTACGGTTGAGGCTATGGGGTCTATGGATAGGGATGGCGATGGGGATGTGGATGGGGGAGTTTTGAGATAGCTGGATGGGTGGGTGGATGGATGGATGGATGGTACCGGTAGATTTGCTTGTTTGATATTTTTGATCCTTGGGATGATCTGGAGTGGAGTGGATTGCATTGGAATGGGAAAATACATATGATATCACTGTGGAAGGCATACGAATGGGATTGAAAATCTGATCATACAACACAACACAATATACTATACATACGAATACACGAGCGAGGGAGGTAATAGGAAATGGGATTCAGGAATAAGGAGTTTTGGAGGGGTTTGTTGAATGGCATTGTATTATTATATTGCATGGTATACGGTATTGCATTGCATTCATTGCACGGTGTTGGGCTGGTTGTACTAGGTTGATCGCATAAGGTTGATGGTTTGAAGTTGATGGTTTAAGGTTGATGGCTTTAGGCATTATATCCGGATGGGATAAGATGCATGGGATAGAGGTGAAGGAAGTGGAAATGTATATATGTATATATGTAAAGATTGATTGTACTCGAGTATATATAGAGTAGATATATAGATATATAGATATATAGATTATCTAGATAGATTGAATGATAGAAATTTCATATTCATTTATTTATATATTTGTAATCATCTGGTTGTATATGAACATTGTGTGCGATGAGATCTGAATAGGAGATGGGGATGGGGGATATGAATAGTGGATATGGGATATGGGATATTGGATGTGGGATGTGGAGGGGTGAAGGTGTGGAGGAGTGTTGTGGATTGTTTGTATGTATGTATGTATGTATGGGAAATAAATGTAGTGAGTATAGTAAGTGTAGTAAGTATAATAAATGTAGTGAAGAGATTTAAGAGGGGTTGGAGTGGAAGAAAGGAGGAGTGGAGGAGTGGAAGGGTTGGAAGGGTTGGAGAGGGAGGGAGGAGTTGGAAGAGACTGAAGGGGTTGGAGCGGTTGGAGGTGTGGAGGTGTGTGTGGATGGATGTAACCTTATGATAGTTATAGATATATTGATGCATTATGTATTGATGTTTGGTGTTTGAGTGATTGTATGATGTGATGTGATATGGGTCGTATGATTGTATGATTGTATAATTTGATGTGATATGGAAGATAGGAAGGGAAATGGAAAGGGAAAGGGAGAGGAGAGGGAGAAAAGGGGAGAAAATGCAGATAGAACAATGCAGAAAGTTGATGAATGAACAGATGGATGGATGGATGTATATTGTATGAGTTGTGCACAAGTAGAAAATCTGTACAGTATGTGATTGATTATTATTATTATCAGTATCAATCAAGATAAAAATAAATATTTAAAAGAAATTGATTCCTATGTACGCTACCTTACTATACTGCCTACCATATGTAAACATAAATGAAACCATCTCCAAAGAACCTCATCTCGATATCTTCTGTATGATACTATATAATCCATATTTCAATCGTTTGCCCAGTTTCCCATCACCCTTTCTCTGTTTCGCGTTAACTCTTCTCCTTCTTTTCGTTCCAACTCGACTCGACTCGACTTGTCTAAAAAGTAGATGAGATAAACGTCATGATATGGATAATAGGATAAGACAACAACCACAATTTAAAAAATCCAAGTAAAAGTCTCTGCGACTTCAAATTGAATTTTATGCCTAGACAGAAGGAACACAAGTTAGTTAGTCTTATCCAGAGAATGATAGAGAGATTACCACTATCTATGTAGACGATCATCTCAAAGGATAATAAAACACCTTAAGTGGATATCGAGCAGGAGAAAAAAAAACAAAAAACAAAAAAACAAAGGTAGCATAAGAAAAAGCACTAACCTGATATCCGCCGCACTCCCCCCAATCCACGCCTCAAATACCCCCTGCTCCGCAACCCATAATCCCTTTCCTTCACGATAAGAATCATCCCAATAACCCACCGAGTACCTATCAATTTCAATTTCCACCCTTTTCGATTCGCCGGGTAAGAGAGAAACCTTAGTGAATCCCTTTAATTCCTTCTCTGGTCTTGCCAAACTACTCTTCAAATCGTGGATGTAAAGTTGTACGATATCTTTTCCTTCCACGTTTCCTGTGTTTTTGATTTCCAGACTTAGGGTGATTTTTTCCTGGCCCGAGGAGGAGGAAGAAGGATGAGATAGGATGGTAGAAGATAGCTTAGGAGCTGAGTATTCAAAAGTAGTATAAGAGAGGCCGTGACCAAAAGGGAATAGAGGGGGGAGAGATAGATGATCGTAGTGCCGATAACCAATATAGAGACCTTCGCCGTAGAGGGAACGAAGATTTTCGCCGGGCCAGGTGTGGTAGGTTGGGTTGTCTGCGAGACGGACGGGGAAAGTTGTCTGATTGTAATGGAGATGGTTAGATGAGATTATGGGTGGTGTAAACAGGAAACTGGCATTAAGAGACGGAAAGAGAGAGAGAGAGAGAGATAGAGAGAGAGAGAGAGAGAGAGAGAG